TGACTGGGAATTGAACCCGACACCATTTGTTATACTGGCAGATGATGCTCCAACCAACTGAGCCACAGGCCAGGGCTCTGCTTTACTTTTTTTTAAAAAAATTAATATATATTTTTATTGATTTAAAGAGTAAGGGAGAGGGAGAGGGAGAGAGAGAGAGAAACATCAATGATGAGAGCGAATCATTGATCAGCTGCCTCCTACATAGTCCCGTCTGTGCCCCCCCGCCGCCCCCCCCCCAACTGGGGACCAAGCCTGCAACCCCGGGCATGTGCCCTGACCAGGAATCGAACTGTGACCTCCTGGTTCACAGGTAGACACTCAAACACTGAGCCATGCTGGCCGGGCTGAGTTTTACTTTTTTATCTTTAAAATCATTTTACTTCTCATACTGTTCAAATGCTAAGTATTTCTAATATTTCTTTTTGGTAAGGGTGTGGAGAGATGGTCAATCTCATAGACTGTTGATGAGGATTAAACTAACACAGTTTCAGTACAGAACAATTTGACAGAATCTGACACAAATTAAAATATTCATAGTCTATAACCAGGAAGTCCATGCTTTTCATAAGCATACAAAGTTTGGTTTGCTACAGCAATTTTTTCTAGTAGCAGAATGTTTGAAACAATCTAAAAGTTTATCTAGGACCTCGAGGAATCGTTTAATAAATTAGGACATGCTCATAAATGGAGTACTATGGAACCATTAAAAAGAAGGCCTCATTAACTGGAAGAATGTTCACGACATATGATTACATTTTTTAAGAGCCCAGCAAACTGGTATCATACATGTTGCATGAAGGAAAGAAGGAGAACACAGAGAAAGAGAGTGAGAAAGAAGAAAGAGAACAGAAAAAAAGACAGAGAGTCTGAAGAAAACTTGATTAAGAATTATGCAAGTTGGAATCATGGGAGAGGAAAAGCTTTTCCCTTTAAAACTTTAGAATATTTTAAGCAAACACAAAAGCGAAAATAATAATACAACAGCTATTATCTATCTCCTAGTTTTGTCAAATCTTAATTTTGCCTTGTTTAAAAAAGAAATTACATAACAGGTGAAGTTTCTCTGAACCCCGTCTTTAATCCCTGCAGGAATTGTGATCTTTAAGAATGGCTTTATTGCCCTAGCTGGTTTGGCTCTGTGGATAGAGGGTTGGCTTGTGGACTGAAGGGTCCCGGGTTCAATTCTGGTCAAGGGCACATGCCCAGGTTGCAGGCTCGATCCCCATTGGGCAAAAGGCAGCCACCAGTGATTCTCTCTCATCATTGATGTTTCTCTCTCTCTCTCTCTCGCTCGCTCTCTCTCTCTCTCTCCCTTTCTCTCTGAAAACAATAAAAATATATTAAAAAAAGATAATGGGTTTATTATATCTGTATCCATTTTTATGCCTTTATTGTGTGTTTTCAGTCATACAATTCATAATATTCTTTTGAATGTCAATCTTTATTAAAATGGTACCAAATTGCATATATTCTTCTGTCACTTGATACTTTATTTTTAAAAATAGCATTTTTTATTTATCCAATTGATGAATATACCCCAGTTAATTTTTATAATTATGTTCTCATGCTATCGCAGTGTATTACACAGTTTATCCACGATCTGAATGAATGTGTAAGCCGTTTTCTTCTCTTTTTTATTTATTTTCTGTTATGAACAATGCTTGTTACTTATGAGCAGGAATTTCTCAAACATATAAACATTGATTTTCTGGGTCTTGGGTGTGTGACTCTTCAACTTCACTAGAAATCATCAAATTGTCCTCCAAAGGGATGATTCCAATTTACATTCTCACCTGCAGACTGAAACTCAACACTTAACATTATCCATTAAAAATCTTTTTGCCGCCGAAACCGGTTTGGCTCAGTGGATAGAGCGTCGGCCTGCGGACTGAAAGGTCCCAGGTTCGATTCCGGTCAAGGGCATGTACCTGGGTTGCGGGCACATCCCCAGTGGGAGATGTGCAAGAGGCGGCTGATCGATGTTTCTCTCTCATCGATGTTTCTGACTCTCTATCTCTCTCCCTTCCTCTCTGTAAAAAATCAATAAAATATATTCGATGGGAGAGAGATAGCCAATAGTACAGGCTGGGAATGATATGTCATGATTTTAATTTGCACTTCCCTGATTATTAGTGAAGCCTAGCATTTAAAAATGTATTGGTCTTTCTGCCCTGGCCGGTGTTGCTCACTGGTTGAAGTGTCAGCTTGCAACACTGAAAGGTTGCAGATTCAATTACAGGTCAAGGACACATACCTGAGTTGCAGGTTCGATCCCCTGTCTGGTGGGGGGCTTGTGTGGGAGGAAACTAATCGATGGGAGAGAGATATCTCTCTCACATCGATGTTTCTCTCTCCGCCTTCCCACCCTCCCTTCCACTCTCTCTAAAAATCAATAGAAAAATATCCTTAAAAAAAAATATCCTTGGGTGAGAATTAGCATTAACAACAAAAAATATAAACAAAAAACTTTATTGGTCTTTCTGTAAAATGCTTATTTTTATTATTAACTTTTAATTATATTTTATTATTGATTTAATATCAATGATTACATATTCTAGATAGTAATCCTGTGTCTATGGGCTGTCTTTTCATTGTGTTTATGGTGTCTTTTTCTTTGCAACTTTCACTTTTTACTCTGTGCCCTTCTTTATCATTTATTAATACAAATAACACTTTTTAAAAAAATATATTTTTATTGATTCCAGAGAGGAAGGGAGAGGGAGAGAGAGATGGAAACATCAATGATGAGAGAGAATCATTGATCGCCTGCCTCCTGCACATCCCCCACTGGGGGGATCGAGCCCACAACCTGGGCATGTGCCCTTGACTGGAATCGAACATGGGCCCCTTCAGTCCACAGGCTGACGCTCTATCCACTAAGCCAAACCAGCAAGGGCCCACTTTTTAAATTTATTAATACAAATAAATTAATTTATTATTACAAATACATACCACATTTTGAATTATTAATAAAAATACATACCAGTTTTTGAATTAAAAAATTAGAAAATAAAATAATAAAAATAAATGAAGTGGTTGGACTAGTTGGCTCAGAAGTCCTACCATTATTTTAATATTGAAGTGAGATTTGATGTTAAAAGTACAAAGCAAAAAAAAAAAAAAAGCCCAAAAAACTTAAGGGAACAAATCCCACTGAGAGAGGACCCATGATCTATCCCAATGCACTCTTACAGGGCCGGTGTAATTGTGCCTCCTGTTTTGAAATCTACATTCTAGGTTAGACACCAATTTTACATCTCAGCTAACAAAGAGTTAACAATACTTTGTTGATTTGAGAAAGAAATACACTTGCTCCCTTCAGTGGAACCATTATTGCTCTCCAAATATCCCTTCTTTGTGTGTCGGAACCAGGTGAGCTGGAGTGTTAGCTGGGCCCCCTCGCCTGGATCTGCACCTTTCACCACCGATTGTTGGCTCTAGCTTCTCACTGCTCCAGCTACCCAGTCTTGCCATGTCTCCTTCTCACCACACACACTGCCAGAGACGGCAAGGCTCTGGGTGTCTTTAGCCCACAGCATGTCACCAGGCATGCAATGGTCACAAGAGGTTAAGTACAGGGCTGTTGGATTTTTTAAAAATATGTTTTAATTGAGTTCAGAGAGGAAGTGGGAGAAAGATAGAAACATCAATGGTGAGAGAGAATCATTGATTGGCTGCTTCCTGCACTCCCCCAACTGGGGATCAAGCCTGCCACTTAGGCATGTGCTCTGACCAGGAATCAAACCAGGGACCTCATGGTTCATAGGTCGACGCTCAACTACTGAGCCACACCTGCTGGGCTGATTTTTTTTTTAATGGTCATTTTTGTGCCTTATAATCTTCTCCTGAGCCCAGCTGGCAGGGCGAAGCCACACTCTCTTCATGATCACTACAGCTGCCCTAACGGCTCAGACATGCTGATTCTCAAAAGCAGAAACAGAGCACGCCAGTCGTGGTGAGCACCCGATTCATCGTATGTCTTCTTACCTAAATCTTTCCGTCTTTTCAGCTCATTGATGTTTACATTGATGTCTTTCACAGCAGCACAGGCGTCCTCCAGGGCTCTGAAGTCTGGGTGAGAGGGAGGGGTAGAATTGCGAAGTTCGCACAGTAATAGGGGGTATTTCGTCACACGCTGGATTGGTTTGATCAACAAGGAGCTCATGTTAGTTAGGTTCGGTTTGCCTCTACAATAGAGATAAATAATGTCAGTTTTGTAAACATTCGTTTCATTATCTCCTTTTAAGGTTTGTGATTTTTGTAATGTTTAATCCTGACACTGTTTTTCCTCCCCACGCCGTCCATTTGACTATGTACAATTTCTAAGTGAAAGCAAGAGCAGTGGGTGCCTGAAAGATCCAGCTACCAAACAAAAACCTAAAAAAAAAACCCCACACACAAAAAACGCAAAAACGCCCACACAACAAAACAAAAGCTGAGTATATCTTTCCATCAAAAAAGGATTCAAAGCATCATTTCCATCCATGTCCCATTTACAGGTTTTTGTTAATAACAGGCTTTATGATAATAGTGGCAAGAAACAATGTCAGAATGCATTTTTCCATGACAATCAAGAAAAAAATTCTTTTACCAATGGCATTTTCTTTGATTATTAGTAAGGAAAATAAACTTATTATTTAAAAATCTAAACAGATGACTTGCCAACTATAGTCAAAAGAAAGCACGGTCTTCTCCCTTCTACCAAATTGAGAAGTTGCCTTTATATTGGGTCAGAGCGTCTATCAGTCCCCAAAGGAGATTTATAAGAAATGCAATAGTTCTCCAAATACTGTTAATAGCATCACTATCACTAATCATTGTGGTCCTACAATGATGTGCTGTGTGGAATTGTTCTTAGCCAGCAAGTCTTCAAATGGCTACACAAAAGTGAACCCTCATGCCTGCCTACTTGGTCATGTCATTGTCCAAGCCACCGTCATTCATTTTTTTCAGCCAGAATGTAGCAGTTTCTGTGCAAAGAGGCAAGTATAAAGCATTGTAAATGAAACATGGATGAAAGTCCCCCTTTGAGTCCCTTCTGGTGATCAGAGATATTTGCTTGCCTTCCTTTTTGTTTTTATTTAGTAGAGAATACAGACACTGTTTTCAAATACTGATAGGGGGATTTTCCATTCTTCAATTATTATTTTTAAGTACTAATATGGATAGACAACAGGCCACATGATTGGAATAATGAAACAATCTAAAAAAACACTGAACAAAATTAGAAAAGTTGCATGTTAAGAAAAGATCTGAAGTCACCTTAGATACCATCTAATTGAACTCTTCATTTGAATAATGAGAAAGTAAAGAACTTTGATTGTCATGTGTATGTGCATACATGTGCACGCATGCACGCACGGACACACACACGCATGTCACTATCAAATCTTCCATCTTCTTTCTCTATTTGGTAGTTTATGCTCAGTTTCTCTGTCAGCACTGTATCTCCAGCATAACATACAGTGTTCTCTCAGTGAATATTTGTAGACCGAGTGTAAAATAAAATGTGCTTTTATTTTACCTTGAACTTATTTTCCCTCCCAAAATTTCCAGTGGTCCTAATACCTGAGGAATTTTATTCACGTACTGAGCAAATGATGATACCATGATAGAAACAAAAACTGAAGCAGACAAAAAAGTAGCTTTTTTTTTTTTTATTTCAGGAAGACCAAAATAAAAGAGCTTCTCAAGGGAGTAAAGCATTGCTTTGCATAACTTATCTTGTTCTTTCTACCCATTGGCACCAAATCTATTAAAGAAATGAGGTAAGGATATGGGGTAGCAAAAAAGAAATGAGGGGGAGAAGGAAAGAGATCTTATTAGTTTCCAAGAGAAATAGGTGAAGCAGATGGAAGAAAATATAAATACTATGAATACCAAAAAAATAATAAGTAAAATCATATTTTCTAACTGATGCTGTATCAATAGCTGAACCTTTGCATATGAAGTACACATTTTCTCACATTTCTTAAGCAAAGATGCTTTAACAATACAACAATTTAGAGACTTAATAGACTTACAATTCCCTTAAGTAAGAACAAGTCAGAAATATAGAAGGTGTTAACTAGAAAAAAAACCATATATCTATATAAATATGATCAGAATTTCTTCTGAGCTTTTCAACCATCACCAAATATTAATTTATTTAATCTTCTAAAAATCGCTGAAAATATCATCAAAATATAAATATAGTCAACAATTCAATAAGAAAACTCAGTTTTAATAAGATAGTTTATCAGTGTGGTCCATTGTTATATATATGTTTTTATTTTTAAAATCCCTAAATATATTAAAGCATACCCTGGTTTCTTTGAGCTTCCCTTCCTTCTTTATTAAGATCTGTCAAAAAAAACAAAGTAGGCCCTTTGGTTGTGTCCAGATCTTATCACTACTTCTTTTCCCATCACTCTTTGGCATCAACGTTCTATTCTCTCCCTTTTATGTTTCCAATGACAATAATAACAATGATAAATGATTATTGTTTCTCTTAAAAGCACCGCAAATGCAAATATTAAAAAGGCTCTCTCGAAAACAAGAGCCCTCTTTTGTCTTCAGACTTGCACTTTGGACAGTTGCCCAAGTGATGAGCAATGATGTTCTGATACCCGCGTCACACAGACAAGCAATGAGGTTAAGAAAATAGAGAATGTGTTAAGATAATGACACTCCAGGCATTCAGTGCCACAAAGCTCACCCATCTAAACCCTCCCCAATAAAATTAAGTTCTGATAACTTTGAGGCAGTGCATTCTATGTGTGATACCACCCAGCTCAGTCAAGCCGCCAATTACCACATACCTCTCCCCAGAAAATAGCTGAATGTAATAATTCCTCAGATATATTGAGCTGAAAGCTAAGGTGGTTACTAATTTGTAATTCTGTTTCATCTTCCTCCCTCTTATCATAAATACTTTGGCAAGTATTTGGTACCATAAATAGCTACACTCATCTCATTAGAAATTATTATTGGGACTTTACAAAATCAAGTAAACACAGCTGGCTTTGCTTTCTTTTAGCAACATCCAGTTTTGCTATAAAGAGCTTCACATCAAATACAAGAAAATAGTTCCACAATGAAAATAAAAATGAGATTTAAACAATGTAAAAACTATGATTGGGAAACAACACTGAGGCACACCGATATTTCTTAATTAGAGGGAGAAAATGAGAGAAAGGAAAAATAATCATCTAACTATTGATCATATTAGTTTGGATTTCCTCTATTTTATGACCATAAGTATCCAAAATTTAATATTTAATTTACAATAGCCTCAAACCAACTACATTAGGATTGATTTTTTTCCAATGTACAGTATTCTCCCTTTAAAACACATTAAGTCAATTTCAGAGGAAACTGTATATTGCTACTAATAACAAGCAAATAACATTTGCCATAAATTAAACATAGTTGTGAAAATACAGAACTATCAATACTTTTTAGAGGATGTAAAGAAGATGAATGAATGATAAATTGACATAGCAGTCCAGAGAACCAGATATTTGGATAGGTAATAATTTAATTATTCTTCCAAAAGTTCATTAATTAGAGTTCCTGAGAACCTATGGTAGTAGATAGAGAGGGAGATGGGGATTAGGATAAGAAGGGACTAGTTGAAAATCTGTTTAAGAAACAACCTCTTTTTAGGATGCCATACAAATAAAGGGGATCATCTGGAGGACTAAGAAAGACCTGTTGGAAATTAAAAGATAATAGCAGAAATAAAAACTCACAGTGTTGGAAAAAAATATTCAGGAACTTTCCAGATAGAAGAACAAAAACACAAAGGGGTTGAGAATAAAAGAAAAATACAGAAAATTAGAGGACTGTTTTAGGAGGGCCAATATCAAAATAATAAGAGGGCCAGGAAAAGAGAGTAGAGCTCATATGGGGAGGAAATAATCAGTGAAGTAACTTGAGGAGAGGACATGAGGTAGCAGGTTGAAAGTCCTCACTGAGTATCCAGAACAATGGATGAAATGGACTCACACCTTGGAATTCATGAAACTTCAGGCTTTTGGGGACAAAGAGAAGATCCCACAATCCTTCAGAGAAACATATAAACAAACAGGTATAAACAAATGATTAGGAATCCAAAAAAGCTTCCGATTTCTTCTAACAACACCGAAAACTAGAAAACAATGAGAAATTACCATTAAAATTTGAAGATGAATGATATTCAACTTGGAATTCTCTATTGTTTAGAAATCAATAGTTTAGTATTCAAACTATAAATTAAGAGTGAGGATAAAATAAAGATATTTTGGATATAAAAGTTCCCAAAATTTTACTTCCCATTCATTCTTTGATGAATAGAAGAAACTATTGAAGGACATCCTCTACAAAAACAGGAGAGAGGCAAAGAGAATTTCTGGGATGATGGGAGGGGAATTCCTGAAAGAGAGGTGTGCCCGGCGTCACTAGTCCAAACCAACAGGCCAGAAGCTCTGGGAGAAGCTTCCTTAGGGAGGTGAAGGTAATAGTATACATAATGCATTTGGGTGTCTTGAAATATGACTGGTGTGAGTTAGGCATTAATGATTAGCAGAAAAAAAAACTAAGAGGGGGAAAAACAATAGTGAACTCACAGAAAGACAGGTAATCATTTATTCCAAGGTTTAGCTTTGAAAAGAAACTTATTCAGATATTCTCAGATACAATAATTCAAACACTGATTAGTCCTCTACTCCAAATTATAATGTAACTACATAAGGAGAATGGAGAGGTGGGAAGAATGTGCGAATGTGTGTGTGTGTGTGTGGTGTGTGTGTGTTGTGTGTGTGTGTGTTTAAATAAAAATTGAAAAGATTTAATTAGCCATCCAAAACATACAATAATATGGGGGGGAGATGGGGTAGAAAAGAGAGAAAAGTTAGTCTTCTACAGGGAAAAGTCAATACATAATACTCAAATAGGTGAAACCAAACATGTTTCAGAGTCAGGAAAATAAATTCCAAAAGAGTCAACTAAAAGATGTGCTCCTATGAAGAGCATTAGCAGCAGGAGGGAAGTTGACTACTATTTTTCTTAAATTCTGACTTTTTAAGCCATGGTTCATATAATTTTAACAAAGAGAAATTTTTTAAAGAAAGAAACATGCAAGACTATCCAAGAAATTCTGAAATGAAGAGCGCTGAGCTGGATAAGGTAGAGCTGGTATTAAAACACAAAGCGCCCTAACCAGTATGGCTCCATGGCTAGAGAGTCGGCCTGCGGACTCAAGGTTCCTGGGTTTGATTCTGGTCAATGGCATGTACTTTTGTTGCAGGCACATACGCGGTAGGGAGTGTGCAGGAGGCAACTGATCAATGTTTCTCTCTCATCGATGTTTCTAACTCGCTATCCCTCTCCCTTCTTCTCTGTAAAAAAAAAAAAAATCAATAAAATATATATTTTTAAAAAAACATAAAGCTGCAAAAACAAAAGCAGTTTGCTATGGGTACCTCCATGGACAGATGATTAGCACAAAGCAGAAAAATCAAGAAATATCTACAGGTCTGTATGGAAATGTGTACATGGTAACTCTGACGTGTTGTAATAATTAGATAGCTACATAGAAAAAATAATAAAAATAAATGCTTTACATCAAAATAATTTATAGCTAAAAAATGAAACGTTAAGATTTAAATGTTAAAAAATGAAACGCTTCAATAACTTGAAGAAATCATAGGATTACACTTTGAAAACATTCTTGGAGTTTCTAAGTAAGACACAAGATCCAAAAACCACAGTAGAAGAAGTGATAAATCTTTTTAAAAATTTACTCTATAAAACTGTACAGATAAAAGCAAAACAGAATAAGCCATAAACTATGTTAAAAGTCAAATGATAAGCTGGAAAAATATTTATGGCACATAAGACAAAAAGGGGTTAATACATTCACTAATTAAAGAACCATTATCAATCTATTAGAAAAAGATGAACATCTCAATAAAAGTGAACAATCAATAAAAAGAATTCATTAGATGAGAATGAAAATGATTAGCATCCATGAAAATGCTAAAGATCAATATTAATGGAAATTAAAACAACACATTACTGTTTTTGGTCTATTACATTGCCAGGTGTTGCAAGGATACAAATATTAATTATATCTAGGGCTGGCAAGTAGCAGATAAATGGACAACTCTCATGTGGGCAGTGGGAATATAAATTAGTTCAACTTTTCTGAAATTCTCTGGTAATAAGAACCAAATGCTATTTGGCCTAGTAATCCCACTTTTAGAAATTCAACTAAGAAAATAAATTATTGTACAGAGATCATGTGTAAGAATGAACACAGAACATCAATCTTTACAGGACAGATAGACACAATTCAAGTATCTATAAGGTTTTGGTAAACTAAGTTGTGGTCTGTACATCAGATAGAATATTGTGTAGTCATAAAGTGATGGGGGTTTATGTTTACTACATAGAAAGATGTCTGGGATGTATGGATGAATGAGGTAGCAAGTTGACGTACAAAAAATACATACCATGGTACATAGGTGTCCTATTTTAGCTAATATGTGTGTATGTAGAGAAAAATATTGCGGTAAAGTCAGAAAATTCACATTGTAGCAATGTTACAATAGTTAACTCTGGAATGTGACCACCCATTGTCTTTACTGCCTCCATTTTAATTTTCTGTATTTTGCAGTGTTTCTTTACTAATTGTAAGAACACAAAGCTCAAGAAAAGAGAAAATAACTTACAACATGCTGAGATAAATAGAAAGCGTGAGGTCCAAAGGCTGGAATAGCTGGTCAGACAGAGCACACATACAGAAAAGTGTAAAACATGGAAATCCAACCCTGTGTCTCTGGAGAAGAGATGTAGAAGAGGCATGTTTTTATTGCTTTAGAACAGCAGACTGTATCAGATGCTTTTTAGGGAGGGTGACTTTTTGGTTGGAGAATCTTTGATTCTTGTCACTTTGATTCTTTGATGTTTGCATAAGATTGTAATCCGAAGTAATTGCTTTAGAAGTTATAATATCTTTGCCTTTCTCGGTACTTTTAAAAATGTAGATTTAAAAAAACCAGAAAATTTTCAGTGTCTATAAGGGATTGTTTTTTAAACCATTAAAAACCCCACCCTTGCCCTGCCGGCATGGCTCAGTGGTTGAGCATTGACCTATGAACCAGGAGGTCCCGGTTTGATTCCCGGTCAGGGCACATGCCCGGGTTGCTGACTCGATCCTCAGTGGGGGACGTGCAGGAGGCAGCGGATCAATGATTCTCTCATCTTTGATGTTTCTATCTCTCTCTTCCTCTCCCTTTCTCTCTGAAATAAATTTTATATATATTATTTAAAACAAACCCACCCCTCCTAAATGCACTCTGGGCTGCAACCTTCCTGGCCTCAGCTGCGAAGGACCTGAACAATTACACAGCACTTGACGCGGCCTTTTACCCTTTTATGTTGCAGCTTGTGTGCCTCCTGACCCGTGAGAGAAACAAGAAGGAAGACAGGGCAGACATGGCTTTGATGTTCACCCAGCCACACACTGTGCATACGCTGCCTCTTTTTCAGTGCTTGATGTACAGAATAGGCTAGAGGGGCCACACACAGCCCGAGAACTCCCACACCACAGGGGTGACGCAGAAGCTAGTGCAATTTTTTAAGCAAGTGTTTCAATACAATGTACTATTTGTTGTAGGTTTTCTGTATGGAGCAGCCTATGCAGGTGAACTGTATTAAATAAGTTAATCTCTCACTGTCCTCCTCTGAATTTCTCTCTCTCTCTCTCTCTCTCTCTCTCTCTCTCTCTCTCTCTCTCGTCTTTTGTTTAAAAACATCTAAGCTTTAGGAAAAGAAATCTAAGCAGAATCTGCAGCATATTACATGCTGTACTCACCCAGCTTGGTGACTCTCCACTCCTAGGTACTATGATGCCAGGGGCATAGATTTCATAATGAGACACCATTCCCTACCCTGCCCCCATCCTCATCAACGATCATTGGAGAGAAGCCAGGAAGGCCCTGGTGTGTGGATGGACAAAAAAACAAAAAGCCCTCTTGTCCTCTTACCCACATCGTCAAATTCAAGTGACTTGGGAACTCATCGAACAAACCTACTCATATCTGTTTATACTACAGGATTCTTTTTTCCTTTGGTGAAAAAACATATAAAGGGAGAGACCTGGGTGCTTGTTTGGTATGTCAAAAACTAACTTCTCAGCCTGGTGAGAAGGTCTCCTGGATGATGCCTGATGCCCAATTCTTCCACTCACTCTGGAATTCTGTCTTTTGTCATGGTTGTTCTGCACCAAAGCATGAATGACAGGTATTTACAGGTTAAATTAATACAATTTTTACTTTATAAATTTTGTATTTTATCGATGTAAAGTTTCCAGAGTAGAATTCAGAGAGAGAGAGAGAGAAAGAGAGAGAGAGAGAGAGAGAGAGAGAGAGAGAGAGTCTAGAAACTCAGGACCTTCATAGTTGCTGACCACACTAAGCCAAGCATGTGCTTTTTCAAGTCCTATACATTTGAGTTTGTATGTATGTCAACATCAGTCAACATCATCCTTTCTCTTTTAGGCTAAATGTGCTTTTCTTATATAAAAATGGGCATCTTGCAAAGTGTGCGTGTGTGCGTGTGTGTGTTTGTGTGTGTGTTGTTTTATAAGGTAATTTCTACACTGTCTGAGTGACCAACTATTTCATCTTAATATTTCATTCTCATGCTATATATGTGGGTATGATTTTTTTCTTTATAAATAAATCATATGAGAGTCCAATGAGAAGAAACCCAATATTTTGCTATAATGCATAAGGAGTCTTTTCTTTTGTCCATTAATCAATGGAAATTTCAAAAACCTTATGGTATTAACCTGAGACTTTTTTAAAAAGACTATTGTTGCAGTCAGGAAAAAGAGTTTTGAACACATTAAGATTCCTAAACATATCTGTGATGAGCAGTTCTTGAAGAGTTCCTGGCCCCAGCAAACATGTGATTTAAGTGAATTATATCCCAGGATTCTTCTAAAAGTTAAGGAAAGTACATGTAATAAGAATTTAATATATAAGATCCTCTCAGACAAATTAGAAATAAGTGCTCTTCAAAGTCTTGATTTATTTATTAAAAGCAAAAATATAATTGTAAAAACTAAAATGTCTGATTTGTACAGAAATATTAACAGCTTTTCCTTGTGATTTTTACATTTGATTTTTATTATTAAGATAAAAATACTTACTCTTGACTGTATATGTTCCTGTAAGAGAGGAGAAAAAAGTAAACACATGTAAATCCATATATGTGAGGTAATAGACAAGCATTGTAAAAATTTTTAAACTTTACTGCATAAAATAAAGCAATAAGTCATTTTCATGAATGTTTTATAGAATTGGTCTCATTGTTTTATAATCAGGTCACTTAAACTTTATTTTAGTATATTTGCACCATTTTTGCTTTACTCCTTATAGCATAAGGGTAAAAACCATTGATACAGATTAGTTAGTAAATTTTCATCATTTGAAAATGGATTTAAAGATCAATTTTTGTTTACATTATAAAAAAAGAATCTAGTAAACATAATAAGAAAAACAGATTACAAGGGAAGGTGATTGACTTGCAGAAAACCATACATTCTGTAACATCTTTGTATGTAGTGTGATACAGATTATAAACATTATAAAATTCAATGAGGGAATTCCACAAAACCTTTCACAAGGCGTTGCTAGCTTTTGTGGCTTCCATTTTGCTCAAGTAAAGCTCACATCCTTCCCAGGCAATGTCCTCTGCCTCTCCTCCATCTCTTCTCTACCTCCTTTCCTGTTGATCCTCGCCTTTCCCATCCGCAGCAACCATACAGGCCTCCTGCTCTTTCTGAAGCTGGAAGACCCGCTCCTGCCTGCAGGCCTTCGCAGTGCTGCCTGCTCTTCCTCCAGATACAGCTCACTCCTCATCGCAGTCAGCTCTCTGCTCAAATGCTCCTTCCCAGTGAAGCCTTCCCCGACCAATCCTACCCCCCTCCCCCCGAACTCTTCATCCTCACCTTCTGCTTTATTTCTCTCCCTTATGCTTTGCCACTTTCTAATATAGTATATCCTTCTTCAGTTTACTGTCTTTCTCTCTCCACTCCCCACTCCCAACGAAGCAAGGATTTATGCTCGCTTTGCTCTCGGCTGTAGCCCCAGGACCCCAAAGAGTGGCTGGCACATGGCAGGGGGGCAAAACATATTTGTCAAAGTAATTATTTAACAATAAAAAAGTGGGAATCATTCCGGTTAAAATTTCCAGAATAAGAGTTTTTCTCTAAAAGCCTCATGGCTCTAGAGAAGTAATGGCCGGTATTAATAACGTGATCCCCTTGCTCTCTGGTTTCCAGGCTTTTGGAATACAATAATGTTTTCAATATAGAACACATTTTAAACCCATCCCTTAACTGTAGATGGTCTTTTCACATTCAGTTATTGAGAAAAATTCAATGATAAATCCCTATGCTGAGCTCAGTAAGTTTGAGGAACGTTTTTACTTCCATGAAGAATTGCACCCCCACTACCCCTTGCCCAATGTTCCCTCCCATTCACTGCCTTTAAGCTCACATTCTTCCTCCAATTTCTCTCCCTTCCTAATGAGGAATTCTTGTTTTTCCAGTATGCGCTGTGGACCATACATTAGAAAATTTGGGAGTGCAGTTGACTAAAAATAAAAATCCATTTTTTTTTATGGAAACAAACAAGTGAGCAAGGTGATCATTTGGGAACCAAAACACATACTTTGAAGTTGAAAGAAAAGCTTGCTCTTTTCCCTCTTAGAGACAACATGGAAAATTGTTCTCCTGTTTTATTTATTTCAAATAAAACAAGTATCATAACATAAGTTAAATGCTGTGTTTAATGTAAGTATAACATTTTATGAAAAGGAACCTGAGAGATCTTCAACATATTTTCCCTGTTGGTGTAGTGACATAATGGTCCTACATAATTACATCTTTTTATTTGCTCTCTCTCTCTCTCTCTCTCTCTCTCTTTTTCTAAATCTCTCTTTTAGGATAAAAGTTTCCTAGAAGTTAACCCCAGCCAAGGACAATTCAGGAGAAAGTTAAATCGTTTACCCCTTGTTGGGATAAAATAACTCAATATGTCTACTGCCACACCTCCTACCCTCATGGGTTTATTACAATTTGAGTCACAATTAACAGAAGTTTTTAATGTAACTATTCCTTACAGATTAGTCTTTCATTAGCTCAATCATGACGGCATATAACAATAAAATGAAGGAATTTCCAAAAGTGCTTTTAATTTTTATGTGGAACATTCCCTTAGCATAATATTAAGAAATACAAAATGTGGTAAACAGATTGAAAGCTATTCCTTTGGAGTTTGCCTTGCATGAACTTTCAGCTTCCTCCCCGAATGGAGAAGTTTTTGTTGGAATATGAGCAGCCAAACCACCCAAATGACTGTAAGTTAGAAGTTTTCCTTCTACGAATGATGGACTAAGGAAGATACATTTATAACTAGAGGTGAAGCTAGAAATGTGTCTTCAGCTACTAAAAATTTGGGGGGAAAAAACCCTTCATTCTTTTTTTATCATTATTATTACAAAATACACAGACCTCTAGGGCCTCTGAAGGGCAGCGGGGATTTGGCGGTATTTACAACAAGAAAAACAGAAAAAGGAGGCAGCAGACAGGCTGTGCTAATTATAGCTACACTGGCATTTACAACTCTTCCATTTTTCACTTTTCTCATACAGAGGAGGGACCTTAAATAGCCCCAAAGAGACAGAGTGACTAAATCTTTAGCGAATAACTTCCATACATTTAGAGGCTGCATTAATACAGTGTTAATGCAACTGCGTAAACACTCCTTGATGAATAAGTAAAAACTTGCAAGTTTCCAATTTGTGTGCTACAGATGCAGATGTGGCGCTGTGCTTCTGGATAGTTTTCGTCTTTTCTTTCTTAAGGTCTCCGAACCCTGAAATTACTGCTCAGACTGCATCTACAGTCATGGAAAAAGCCCGGGGACCTCAGGGAAAGCAGCGAGAGAGAACTGAGGGCATTTCTCCTTCCAAGTAGGTCTTGATTGTGTGCCAACCACATGGGAGTACTGGCTAATGTGCCGATTCCTGGATCGGACCCTCAGCCATCCCATTTATTATTATTATTATTGTTGTTGTTGTTGTTTTGGTCTGGAGCAGAGTTTAGGAGTCTGCATGTTTAGTATACATCCTTGGTTGATCTGACGCAGGGGAACATGCACACCAGAAAACACTGCCCTAACATTCCCAAGGGATTCAAAGTAGTTTTCTGGATACAAATACTATTTTCTCTTTTGAAAGATACTGGGCTTCAGAGAATAGCCAAAGGTTATGAGCTCACATCTGTTACAGAACCAAACAACCTCTCTACCATCTTCTTGGAAATTAGTCTTGAATCTCACCGTGACAGCTCCTGGTGTGTTATTTACATTAACATTGTCATTCATCTTTCCAGATGGTTTTGTTTATCTACCCAAGTAGAAGGTGTGTTCCTAGGAGGCAAGAACTACCTATGCTTATACATATATTTTTAAATGATTTCAACATTATCTAGCAATCTTAATAAATATTTATTAATCCTTCAATAAACTTATTTTAATTTTGGCTAAAATGCAACCTAAGTTTCTTAAGATTCTGGTTTAACTTCTGAGGCATGAAACCACTTCTCTCATGGATATTGCTTCAAACCCACTTATTCTAATATCCCTTGCACGGTAGACAATGGAGGCCGCACCTGATATTCACTAGAAATTGGCAACTGGGCACTTGGGCTCTGTTATTTAGCCCCAAGGAAAAGGCAGAGCCACAGTAATAGCTTTGACTGATTACTTGGCAAGGGAAACCAAGCCCTTGGGTGTTCCAGACTCGCTTTGGCCTATAAACCTGTTTGAAAACCTGTTCCCAGAATTTAAAGCTTAGCTCAATTGAGGTCAGTATTATAGTAATGTCAATAATTCTACTGCTCTCCGCTTTCAGGCAGACCAGTACAATTCATCACTGACTTTATGTTCATGGAAAGGCAACTTTTGGGAAAAGAGCTCTAACTTAAGCTACTTTATTTTGATTTTCTTTCCCTTAAAAAACAGTCCTGCCAATATTAATTTCTTTGGATTTTGTGCTTTCTAAACCTCAGCACCCTCCAGTGCCTGGAATTATTCTCGAAAACCAGACTGGTGCTGAGTACACAAGATTTGGGACATCACCAGGGCAATGACTGGAGGCTTCCAGAAAAAGATCAAATAAACCATTGGTTCTGAAAGTAATTTTCCATAATTCAGACTTATTGAAGTTCAAAGAGTTAACCTTTGCCTTTAGTTGGTTAGTTGGTTTTTAAGGGGTCTGATAAGGCGTCCGATATTCTACTGCCTAGTGGAATATTCTGGCTGTGTCAAGCTCTCTCTCTTAGGAGTCAAAAGCTTCATGAATAATACACGAATGTTCACCCCCTCTGAGCAGACAGCTCCACCTCTGGGCAGCTGTTAAGAGCACCTGCCAAAGTAATGAACTGCATCCTCTTCCCGTACGGAGCGCCATTCCTGGGGTTGGAGTTGGACTGATGATCGTTAGCAGTTCCACTACCAAAAGATTTCTCTTTAATTCTAGAGCAGTGATGGCGAACCGTTTGAGCAAGGCGTGTCAGCATTTTGAAAAACTCTAACTTAACTCTGGTGCCGTGTCACATATAGAAATTTTTTGATTTTTGCAACCATAGTAAAACAAAGATTTATATTTTTGATATTTATTTTATATATTTAAATGCCATTTAACAAAGAAAAATCAACCAAAAAAATGAGTTCACGTGTCATAGGTTCGCCATCACTGTCTAGAAGCTAAGGAAGGGAAATGGCTCAATCTAGACATTTATTGGATCAGATAGAAAAGGTGTTCATTCACATCCAGGATAACACCATTACTTCTCCCTAGGAGTAAACAGTATCTTTATATTTAGAAGAGTTTTCTCTTAATATATTAATAATACAAATACAACTTCAAACTTTAAGGTTTATGTGAATTGATTTGCTAACACTGAACTAATTTTCAAATAGTGGAGAAATAATGAACTAGAGCTGCTATTACATATAATCTTTAAGAATTAGCTGGTCAGCCCTAGCCAGTTTGGCTCCGTGGATAGATAGGTCAGCCCAGGGACTGAAGGATCGAGGGTTCAATTCCGGTCAAGGGCATGTACCTTGGTTACAGGCTTGATCCTCAGCTCAGGTCGGGGCCTGGGAGGCAACCGATTGATGTGTCTCTCTCACAATGATGTTCTCTCTCTGTCTCTCCCTATCCCTTCCACTCTCTAAAAATCAATGGGAAAATATCCTCGGGTGAGGATTAAAAAAAGAGAAAGGAATTACCTGATCATATTGAGCTCCTTATGGGCAGGGTCTAAGACTTCTTTATTTTTGTATTTTCAGCATTCATCCCAGAATGATGCTTGGTGCATCACAAGCACTAAGTAAATTATTTAGATTTAGTGACTTAAATGTATTTTCCACAACATGGGCAGAAAAATGGTTAAAGAACTCTAATACCTTAATGACCAGTAGAGGGCAATCAAGTTAGTTCTTAAACCCACTTTCAGTCCCAGTTCTCATCTGCAATGACTTTCTCTAGAGTAGTCTCACTTAGTCTCCTGATTTCACTTTAATTCAGCTACCAGCCTTTTGTACTTTATCAGGACTCCCATTTGGGCCCCTACAATAGTGAGTATATAAGGGAATGCACCAGAGGGTCAGACTGGCTGGTGTGCATTGATTGATACACTATAGCTCTCTCTGTTTGGTTAATTCTCAGCCTAATCAAAACCACTTGACAAGAAGTAATCCTGAAAAATAAAAGACCACAACAGAACCACTGGGTACGATGTGGGCTAGGGCAGATTTTTGGCTTTAAGCTTCATGTGGTAGAAAACTATCTATAATAATAAAAGGGTAATATGCTAATTAGACCAGACATCTTCCGGACATCCTTCCTGATGAAGCCAGGGCCAGAGGGAAGCCAGCCCGGGTCCCAGGTGCCTGTGGGTGGCCAGAGGAGGGAAGCAGCCCGGGTCACGGGTGCTGGAAGGAAGCTGGCGCTGGCAACCTGGCGAAGGAAGGACTACTCTTGCATGAATTTTCATGCATTGGGCCTCTAGTATTCTATATAATCCTATATAATAAAAGGCTACTATGCAAATGGTCGTGACACCCTCACACCATAATGACCGATCAGCAGGAGGCTGTGTTGGCAGGCACGGGTGTGCAGAGCTGCATGCATGGCGAGGCTGGGGGGCATGAGGCTGTGACCCCCGCCTGGTGCTGGCCAGGGGATGTGATGCTGTTATGGTTTATTTATTAATAAATTTATATATTATTTTCATATACATTTTACTAATTTTCTTTCATTTCTGACACTTCTATTATAGAGAGAGAAAAAATAACAATATTAAAATATTCCCTCTATGCCCTAACCGGTGGATAGAGCGTTGGCCTGTGGACTCAAGGGTCCCAGGTTTGATTCCGGTCAAGGGCATGTACCTTGGTTGAGGGCACATACCCAGTAGGGAGTGTGCAGGAGGCAGCTGAATCGATGTTTCTCACATTGGTGTTTCTAACTCTATCCCTCTCCCTTCCTCTCTGTAAAAAAAATCAATAAGATATATTACAAAAATATTCCCTCTAATTAATTCCCTTTTAATGTGCACGAATTTCATGCACCAGGCCACTAGTATACAATAAAATACCAATTTCATGTAAAAGAATTACCCTCAACACATGTCCACATGTATGCATATAGACATGATCAGAAGAAAATGCAAATTGTGGTTACTAATACATGGTTTAGTGAGGAGTTAATACATGGAATAGCAAGGACTTTTATCTTATTAATGTTTTCTTATTTTTTCAGATATTTATAGTGCATATATATTTCTTCTATATATAAAAATATATTATGTGGCACCTCCCACCAACAATTTAGGAACGAGGAGGAAGGCATGACTAATTTTCCAGAAACAAACTTTAACAGGGCCTGAACACTTTGACAGTGTTCGCCAGTCTCCCCTCTGTGGGAAGGTGAAGGCCATCTAGAGAGTCATGGACATTCCACTGACTTGATTATCCCATGTCCCCCAGGGGTCACGGAGTCACATGTTGTCTCACACATTCCTCCATCTATGTGGAGCAGGCAAGTAACAACAGCTTTAAGGGGGGACTTTTCTTCTGCATTTCACTTTTTCTTTTCTTTTTCTTAGAGAGGGAGAGAAAGAAATATCAACGTGAGAGTGAAACATGGATCGGCTGCCTCCTGCACACTCCCTTCTGGGGATCAAGCCCGCAGCGTCAGCAGGTGCCCTGACCCGGAATTGGACCCTGATCCCTTGGTTCCTGGGTCAATGCTCAACCATTGAGCCCCACTGGCTGGGACATTTCACTTTTCGATGTTGCATTATTCTATTTCCACAGAGCCCTGATATTTCTCCTATGTTATTTTCAGTCTCTTTCACAGGGGGAAAAAGTCAATCCGTGTTTCTGGCATGCCAGCTTTTTATAAAGAGAACGCAAAGTAGAGCTTCCCGCCAGTCTGATAAAACCCAGGATTTACGTGAGATCTTTCATCTGCATCCAGTTAAAATGTTCCCTGCTAGGCAACTGAAGGCACATGGAAATCATCATTGGAAAAGGCCTTACTGTAAGGACTGGACGCAGAGGCTCAATTGTTGCTTCAGCTCCTCCTCCTTTTCATAGGCCTCGAGGACACTGTGCGCTTCGTCGTGGTGATAGCAGTAGATTTTATAAATATCTTCCAGCGGCCCTTTAATCTGCAAGAACACTTCTCCTGACAAATGTAAAACAAAGGCAAAATGATATCAGGTCAGGCCCAATGGGGACTTCACATACTTATTATTCAGCAACACTAACGAGTGTTGGTTGGGTACCCGTTTATGCCCGGGGTCATTCAGAAGCGGTGGAAAACATCAGTGACCTTCCCTCCTTTCCTTTCCTTTCTCACCTCCCTCTTTTCCTCTCCCTTCTTTTTTCCTCCCTCCCTCCCCTTCTTTTATAAAGCAAAGGATAATGAGCATAAGGGAGGTAGGCGGCCAGTGAAAGCTGGTTTTCTCAGCGGAGACTGTGCACCTGGCTGGTGTGCAAGAGCCTGGCAAAGGGCAGCCTTTTAGGGCCAGTCTGTGTGGGTTCAGATTGGGCTGTGCTGCCAACGTGGACAGGTTATGTCTTGGACAATGTATTCTTACCTTCTGAGCCCATTTCCTCACTTATAAAATGGAAACAATAACAGATCCAACTTCATAGGGTCCTTATTAAAATTAAAGACACTGTGTGTGTGTGTGTGTGTGTGTGTGTGTGTGTGTGTGTGTGTGTGAAGTTCAGAGTCCAGTATTACATGGTAAATGCTCAACATGGAGCAGCTATTGTTATGTATTAAAAATATGGGAAGTGACATTTTAGGCACTAAAATGACATTTTCATATGTATTCCACCAACATTTCCTGAGGTTCTCTGAAAGGCAAGCAATGGAGTTCAAATAAAGTATTTCCTTAAATGTTATAATAAAAAGATTTGGCCATTATTTCTGTTAAAATAATGGACATAATAAATAATGTTAATTGGATACTATAAACAAGGGTTATGACTGTTTTCTTCATAAAGTAACTTGGGCGAATTGTGTCCCAGCATTTAAGAAATTATTTTGATATTATGATAAAATTGGGTCTCTGACAGCTCAAATCGGTATTGAACAATGGTTTGACTTACTCACCCACTCCTTCACTTAAAAATGTGTATTAAGCATCCACTACCCTACCCCGCACCTTGTTAACTTGATTTGAGATACACTCAAAAAAATATGTGATAGGGTCTGCTCTCAAAAGCATTGCAGATTTGGGCTTGATAATGATTTGGGCTGAATTGATTGGGAGTGATATGGACTTACTAGTCTGGCCCTATTATACTAACAACAAGTCGCTCTTCCTTCAGAAATAGTAGTGCCCTTTGTATTTTCAACATGTTTTGCTCATATTAACGGCTCAACTCCCTGTATATGTGGCGATAAGAGGTTATTTATCCTTATTAAATAAGAATAGACAAATCTGAGTTTAAAAGAAATAAATGATTTCCCCGAAGTCCTAGCAACCTAAATTCCTAGTCCAGTACTGCTATGATTGGTGTTAGTGGAATAATTAGTGTAGATATTATGATTATAGGTAGCAGGCAATTTATTCATTTTGTGTTCTCAAATTATCATTTGATCTTCATGTTGTTTCTTGTTGGCAAAGCCAGGATTAGAGACCATATTCTTCTCTCTCTCTCTCTCTCTCTCTCTCTCTCTCTCTATCTCTCTCTCATTATCCCTCCACACATCAGAGCTTTGCTGGACACTGTATAAAGTGATGCAGTTAGACAGAATCAGAAATCACTGTCATGTAGCATTTGTGTGGTGACTTGGGAAATGACTTTAAAAAATTCTTTCTACTCAATTCTATAATTTTTAAAATAGAAATAAGTAATAGTACCTCTGGAGATGAATTTGAGAATTAAATGGGATGTAAAACATGCCTGGCATTGACAAGTTGCTCAGTTAACACCATTCATCTCTTAATGTTGCTCCACTATCTCTAGAATTAAAACACCAGTCCTTTTCTAATTTATATCCAGCCAATGAAAGGCTTTTCTTTCCTTTTCATTATATGGGATTTCCCTAAGATTGTAGACTGTGTGTGTGTGTGTGTGTGTGTGTGTGTGTGTGTTGGACTTCAGAAACTTAGCAACAGTGAGAATCTTTGGAACTGAAGGTATGAAGAATTCTTGTTTTGCCCCTGGGATTGTACTGAGTTGATCATTCTAGCAATGTAGGTCTTGTAGATTTGCTCTTCAAGACAGCAACACACACAGTAAGAAATAGAGTAGTTATACGAAGAGGAAATAAAATAGGATAGTGACTAAATTTAGTTGGGCAAAAGATGCGGAGAGCCTCCCAGGGTCAGAGCCAGGTGGCACATGGGGGTGAGGCCTTGGGCTGGGGGAGGAATCAGGCCCAGCAGTGGGAGTGAGCACCAGCTCTGAGGACGCTCAGGAGTGAGTTGGGCGAGAGGCTCTGAGTGTGCACAGCCCAGCACAAGATGAAGTTGTAAACATGTATGTTCACTACAAAGCAGCATAGAAACAAAAGAAAGAGGGAAGGACACGCATAAATCCACACTAAGATCAAGTCAGAAAGTCAAAAAACAAAGGAAAAGATATTTATTTCACACACAATGAAACCATTAATTGTAAATTCCTTTGTATTTTCTTTAGCACAGTGGTCGAGTTTGAAAGAATGTATATCTCCCCTTAACAGCAGTCAAAGTTTCTATTCTTTCCCAAGCAAAATTCTGTTGGGGCTCTAATAATAATTATTAAAGTTAAAAGGTATTTAAGTACTCTAATTGAAAGCCATTTATTCACCCAAAGGCCACGTACAGCTCTGGCGGGCAGAATATTTGATTTCCTCCCAGCCCTACCAATGTATTCTGCTTCATAACAGTGCAGATGAAGCGATGTGTCTTGCAGCAAGAAATGATTTCGTTTCCACGGTAACATAACTGGCGGCTGCGTTTCTTTAGTGGTGAAGGGCAACTCCTCTATCTAATGTATGTGGGTTTGAAGGGATGATTAGAAGCGGTGAAGGGACTGAGCCAAGACCAGGGAAGGTAATTTCACTTCTGGCTGCCTGTCACAAAGGCACCAGAATCCCCTAAAATAAATATGACTGTCGGGTGCTTCTTTTTAAAAATCCTACAACCTGACATTCTGCACTAGCTGGCATGCAAAAGGAGGGAAAAAAGGAATGCGCCCTTTTAAATGTCCTATTTATCTCCTTTAAAAACAAGTCCCAAGGATACTGAGTGCATTTTCTGTCTTGGTATCATTACTCCTGTGCTGCATGTTGCTCCCTTCATTAATGTAAATATATTCATGTTCCTCTTGCTGCCCACCTCTTTTTTAAAAATATATTTTATTGAATTTTTTACAGAGAGGAAGGGAGAGGAATAGAGAGTTAGAAACATCGATCAGAGAGAAACATTGTTCAGCTGCCTCCTGCACACCTTCTACTGGGGATGTGCCCGCAACCAAGGTACATGCCCTTGACCGGAATTGAACCTGGGACCTTTCAGTCCACAGGCCGATACTCTATCCAGGAGCCAAACTGGTTAGGGCAGTGGTTCTCAACCTTCCTAATGTCGCGACCCTTTAATACAATTCCTCATGTTGTGGTGACCCCCAATTTCATTGTTACAAATTGAACATAATTAAAGCATAGTGATCAATCACAAAAACAATATGTAATTATATATGTGTTTTCCGATGGTCTTAGGCAACCCCTGTGAAAGGGTCGTTCGACCCCCAAAGGGGTCGCGACCCACAGATTGAGAACCGCTGGGTTAGGGCAAGGCCCACCTCTTCTTTACTTCCAGACCAGCATGTCTGTGCCAGGGTGTGCCAGACCAAACCATGAGGCCTCTGAATTATCCTGACCCCACTCCAAGATGAACTTCCCCTCGGGGAAGTAAAACAGGGTTAACCAATGATAAGCAAGCAATCTTCTTGTCCCAGGAAAATGGCATCCAATAAAAAGAAGTATAGCCTTTACTTCATCCTTATATTTGGCAGTAATTTAATGAGTGACAGTTATGCACCAAGCACTTTGGTAGCTACCGCAGATCCAAAGATTCAGCATTTCCTTCAAGGGACTTACGAAGGGAGAGAGGAGAGCTAACTCATGTACCACACGATGTGGCAAGTATGTCAATAGAGCTATGAAACACAGAGGGTCACCTATTCTGCTCTTTTTTTTTCCCAACTGCTGGGAAATCAGCATCTTAGTTAAATATAATCTTTAACAGAAAAGTTTGTCCACATATTATTTTAGTTGTTGTTGTTAATCTTCACCCAAGGATATTTTTCCATCAATTTTTTGTGAGAGTGTGAGGGACAAGGAGAGACACAGCGAGAGAAACATCGATGTGAGAGAGACACATCAATTTGTTGCCTCCTTCATGCGCCTGACCAGGGCCGCAGATCAAGCCTGCCACCAAGGTACACGTCCTTGACAAGACTTGAACGGGGGACCCCTGAGTCCTCGGGCCCAGGCTCTATCCACTGAGCTAAACTGGTTAGGGCCCATTCTGTTCTTGAAGACCTTGAGCTATTTCCATAACAGTCTGCCCTTGAAATAGGAGCTGAGTGAAGGCAAGAGCACAGAGACACAGTGAGGGAGCAAGGTCTGTTCAGAGACTGCAATTGGGCTCATATAGCTGCCGAAGCCATGTCCGTGCGAAGTTTCAGAAGATGCTGCATTGGCCTGCAGCAGCCAGGTCCCGAAGGACCCTGTGTATCAGCAAGGAGAGGGAACTCCAGCCTGAAGGTGATGGAGAAACACTGATGGGTTTTAGGCAGCAGCCTAACATGATTGGACTGTCTTTCCGAGAGATTAGTCTGGGACTCAGTCATATGAAAGTTGGAATTTAGGAAAGAGTTAGTGAGACAGGAAAAGAGAAACCAATTGAAAGGCTTCCATAATAATACAAGAAGTTACCAATGAGGGCCAAAACAGGAAGTTATAGCAGTTAGGAGAAAGTGCTTGATTACCAACAACCATCTTTCAGATTCTGGTTTTACCGTTTACTCTTGTGACATTTGGGAAACTGACTTGACTCTCTGTTTCTCAATTTCCTCATTGAGAAATTGGAATAATAACAATTATAGGGTTGTGTGAAGATTAAATGAGTTAAAGTATTTGATGTATTTATATCAGCAGCTTGAATGTGCAAATGCTGACTA